CGGGATGACAGCGTATCCGACGTTTTGGAGCAGCTAGACCAGAATGCACGGGCTTGGTTAGGGTTAGCGCGCCGTATGGTCAATGCGGGATGTTTGGGTGGTGACTATACCAGAACTCGGAACGGCTCGAGCGCAGAAGGGAGAAAGGCTGAACCTGGCAACAGCTGCTGCACCTAGCATCCGTTGTCCCCGTAAGTTGAGGCGCTTGTGAGGCATGCGCGCACCAGGCTTCTAGAAAGACGACGCTAAGGTGCGCGGCAAGAGGGTTACCCCGCATTCTTGGTGTTTCTTTTTTGCTTTGCGGGGGAAGAAAGAGCCTTGGCACAAGCTGTCCAGGATTGCAGCATGCAGGGTTCACACCGTTTCAACTGCCGACGGAAGCGAGCGTGGGTGTGTGTGTGTGTCACCTGGTCCATTGCACGCAGAGTTGCTCGTGAAGAGGCCGTCATGCGCATGTACCAGAACGGGAGCAACCAATCGGAGGATGGGGTATTGCAAAAGCTGCTTCAATGATGAGACGTGCTGTACTGAAGGGCTTCGATCCGTTGGCGAGCCATTGCAAGAAAGCATATAAGGTCCTTTGCCTTGACGGGTTCGACCCCGCCTTGTCAAGCATTCTGTTGCTCGCCTTACAGCCCTACTCACACCTGTTCAAGCCATCGAGCCCCGCATCTCGATTGTTCGCCATGGCGCCTACTGCAACCCAGGATCCGGTTCCTGTCCCCGTCGCTCCTTCCAAGGCAGCGCAGCACGGCTACGTCCACCCTACCGACATCATGCCTTCGGGCTGGCCCACCGCCACGGATCTCTCGGGAGGTGCGCAGCCCCGCCGCTTCGAGGGCACCATCTTCGACGTCATGGTGCGCGGCGAGATCCCCAAGGAGCTCCACGGCACGTTCTACCGCATCATGCCCGACTACGCCGAGGCGCCCACCTACTACAAGGGTGGAGAGCTCAACGCGCCCATCGACGGTGACGGCACTGTAGCTGCCTTCCGCTTCAAGAACGGCAGGGTGGACTATCGCCAGCGCTTTGTCGAGACGGATCGATTCAAGGTCGAACGTCGCGCCAGGAAGAGCATGTACGGTCTCAACCGCAACCCGTACACGCACCACCCGTGTGTGAGGCAGACGGTCGACTCGACGGCCAACACCAACGTTGTCATGCACGCCGGAAAGTTCCTCGCCATGAAGGAGAACGGTTGCGCTTACGAGCTCGACCCGCACACGCTCAAGACGCTCGGCTACAACCCTTTCAACCTTCCGACCAAGACCATGACGGCCCACCCCAAGCAGTGCTCAGTCACAGGCAACCTCGTCGGATTCGGATACGAGGCCAAGGGTCTGGCCACCAAGGACGTCTACTACTACGAGGTGGACCCTTCCGGCAAGTTGGTGCACGACCTTTGGCTCGAGGCGCCCTGGTGTGCGTTCATCCACGACTGCGCCTTGACGCCCAACTACCTCGTGCTCATGCTCTGGTCTTTCGAGGCTGACATCGAGAGGATGAAGGTGGGAGGTCACCACTGGGCGTACGACTACACCAAGCCGATCACGTGGATCACGATCCCTCGAGGAGCCAAGAGCAAGGACGAGGTCAAGTACTGGCAGTGGAAGAACGGCATGCCGATCCACACCGCCGCCGGTTACGAGGACGAGCAGGGTCGCATCATCATTGACTCGTCGCTGGTGCACGGCAACGCATTCCCCTTCTTCCCTCCGGACTCGGAGGAGCAGAGGAAGAAGCAGGAGACCGACGGTACGCCCAAGGCTCAGTTTGTGCGATGGACCATCGACCCACGCAAGGACAACAACGAGCAGATGCCTGATCCTGAAGTGGTGCTCGACACGCCCTCCGAGTTCCCGCAGATCGACAACCGCTTCATGGGCGTCGAATACTCGAGCGCCTTCATCAACGTGTTCATGCCCGACCGCTGCGACGGCGACAAGAACGTGTTCCAAGGTCTCAACGGTCTGGCCCACTACAAGCGCAAGGAAGGCACCACCGAGTGGTACTATGCCGGAGACAACTGCCTGATCCAGGAGCCCGTGTTCAGCCCTCGATCCAAGGATGCTCCTGAGGGAGACGGATTCGTGATGGCTATCGTCGACCGTCTCGACCACAACCGCAGCGAGGTGGTGGTGATCGACACGAGGGACTTTACAAAGGCTGTTGCTGCCGTTCAGCTTCCGTTTGCCATCCGATCGGGCATTCACGGCCAGTGGATCCCTGGTGAGGTCACTCCTGACTTTGAGACGAAGGGACTGGTCGACTTGCCCAAGGAAGAGCACTGGGCGCCTCCGTCTCAGAGCGCCTTTGACCCCAACATGTAAGCGGCGCTGCTGAGGTTTTCCTTCAAGAGCGCAATCGATCTTTCAGAACAAGAAGAGTAGCTTGAGCGTTTTGCGTCCGTTTCTAGAGCCTGAGCTGGCCTTCATCCGAACGAGATCTGTGCCAATGAGAGGGCTTGCAGGACCTGGAGTGGCTGTAGCGGCAGTTACCCGGACAATGTGGTGGTGATCGGCCTCGCCATCCAGCTGCTCGGATGTGTACTCTTCATCACGCTGCTGTTCATCTTTGTGCGACGATGCATGCGCGATCCTCCCGCGTCAGAGCTGTGGAACAAAGGAACGAGAAAGTTCATTGCAGCCACGGTCGTCTGGAGCACGCTGATCTTTGTGCGAAGCCTGTTTCGACTCATCGAGATGTGCGTCGGCTGGGAGGGCGTCATCGCCAGGAGCGAGTAGGCGTTCACTACTTTCGACGCTGCGATGGTCGTCGTGGCGGTGTACATCTTCAACGTCGTCAACCCGGCCGCCTATCTTCCTGCCGATGTTTCTTGGAGGGGCAGAGCGCGGTCGCAAGTCGATTGTGTGGAAAAGGAACAGCCCGCTTCTCCGGATGCCAAGTCGCTGTCGACCACGCTCGAGACGTGCACGACGTCGAGTGCGGTCTGACTCTCGCCCTCATGCTCTCGCATCTCATCTTGAGCTTTCCCACATTGCAGACGACAGATAGCTTGTTAGCATTGAACGAGCTGAATATCCGGAAAGGGCCTGAATGTACAGCGATCGAGGTGCTAAGCGGCATCGGGTATTGCTGGACTCGAAGGGATGACCTGCGGTTCGTGCTCCGAATTTGGACCTTGTTGCTCGACCGGTACTGCAGCTGGCGTCGGCTGAGCGCCATTGTCGGACTTGCTCGCTGGCGCATCTCTCAGCTTCTTATCCTTGATCGCACCCATCTTTGCCTTCTGTATCAAGTCGTCAAACTGCGACTTGTTGCTCTTGATCCACGTGGTCTTTTGGCGATCGACGTGCGCCGAGTGATCCTTGGCCGACCACTTTGTGCGTTCCCACGCCGCGAGATCTTTGCGCAGCTGTGCAGCGCTGCGTCTGGCTTTGGTCGAGTCGAGGTTGGCGTTCCAAATGTTGATCCATTGGCGATGCCGCTCGACCATTTTCTCTTTATCGCCAGAGGTGGGTAGACCGGCATCGTCGAGCAGCTTGCGCAGATCGCGTTCCGACTTGAGGTTGTACTGCGGCCGAACGAGTCGTTTCTCGTTGGCCATGCTCGATGTCGCATCCGCACTGGTCGAGGGCGAAGCGGCGGAAGCGCCCTTGGTGAACCAGGAAGAGGTCGTCTTTGCGGCTTTAGGAGCGAGACCGCGCTGCTCGGCAGACGGCTCGGGGAAGCCGTCGTAGCATTGTGCGCTGTCGAGATGCCGATTCAGGGCGGTGACGGTAAACTTGTGACGGCAGATGGGACACTCGACGAGATCGTCCGCTTTCAGCTCTCGATCTGACGTCTTGGTCTCGACAGCGCGCCGCTTGGAAGGCGATGGATGTACGCTCGCAGCAGCACCAGCTCCTTCGATGTAGTCACCGTCGCGGTCGTCGTCGTCTTGCTCTGTTGTCGCTTGAGCATCGTGATCATCGTCGGTGCCGTTGATGAGGTCATCGCCGTCGTCGTCGTCATCTTCCACAGTGAGAGGGGACGAGCGCGAGCCCGCTGGTTGCAGATCGGTCCTGATGCGTTTGGATCTGCGTGGACTTGCACCGTTGACATCAGACTGTGTGCGTTTGGATGTGGTTGCAGCGTGCGGCTGTGGCGGCGGAGGATGCTGTTGCGACTGCGTCTGGAGACGAGCGAGAAAGGAGCGAGATTTTTTCCACTCGATCGCCGTGAGCTCGAGGACGGGCTGGGGTATCAACTCGGAGTCGTACGCCTTTGTCTGCCTGCACTTGGGACAGAAGCTGCCGCTGTTGCCGGACTGGTTGATGTGTGTGCGGATGCAAGTGGAGCAAAAGGTGTGGTGGCAGCTCTTGATCGAGACGGGCGACGTGTAGATGTCGAAGCAGAGGTCACACCGCAGAGAGGCGTCGAGGTTCCTGAGGATGGCAAAGTCGGCTTGCCAGTCGGAAGGGTCGGTGACGTCGTCCAGGAGGGTCGCCACCGATGATTGCATTTCGGACGAGATGGCGACGACGACGACGACGACGACGAGTGGCGATGAGTGTCGCAGTCTGATTGTGATTAATAGGAGCAGCGGAGGAGGCGATGCGGGATGGCGGACTGTGTCCGATTCGAGAAAATGCGCAGCAGAAAGGCGGCAGTGACTGCTGATTCGCCTTTAATCGACTCGGACTGCGACTGCCGGACTGTCGCCGAGGGTGAGGATAGAGACGTGGAAGGGCAGCGGTGGATGATGCTGATGATGATCAATGCTGCTGCTGTGTGATTTGTGTGGAGAAGATCCGCCACTTGGAAGCGGAAATCGGTTAGAGCGTTTTTGTGAGTGTGTGTCGGTCGGATTGCTCAGCTTTCTGCGGAGCATATCCCGACTCTGTCACAGAGGGAAGAATCCACTTTACGCGAATCTTGGATGTCACGCGTCGGGTGGCTTTTTTTCCTGTCAACTCCTCCACCCTGAGCTGGTCGCTGTGCGGATCAAGCAGTGAGAGATTATATACGCAATGCCAGCTGTATCCTATATGACTGGTTTCTTGGCGCAGTTGGTTAGCGCGTCTCCTTAACAACTTCAGATCGTTAGGGCTTACGGAGGAGGTCGCCGGTTCGAACCTGGCAGAAATCATTTTTTCCTCGCTGCAGCAAAGAATCGCGACGACGACGGCAGCGGAGTAAAGGAGCACACGAGGGTCGAGTTGAGAGAAGTTGTTGGATTGCAATGAGAGCTGGCACGACGCTTGCGTGGACGTGGACGAGGGAAGGTCGGTGGGTCCATTGGCGGGCATTGACCCACACACACACACCTCCTCAGACAGTTGTCTCATTCGTGTAGCTCGACATTCGCAAGCCTCGCAGGCCTCACCGAACGAACGAGAGGGTGGTGTGCGTCTCGCTAAGCGATTCGCTGCGGGATGGAACAGCCGCCAAGCCAAAGGAGACAGCCGACAATGGCGAACGCGATTCGAGGGCGACAGACTGCTGGACTCGACTCGAGCCGCTCGCTTTGAGCACATCGTCGATTCAGTACTTTTTTTTTTNTTTTTTCGTGCCGATGCCGTGTCAAAGGCGTGCCGACGTGGAGTGGAATCGGGAGAGGCGAATGTGTGATTCGGAGGAAGAAGAAGAAAAGGCACCGACACGCACGACGCCGCTCAAAAGAGGGTCGCGACCAACTGAACGAGAGCGAGAGAGAGCTTCAGGGTCGCGACAGAGGAGAAGCGGCCCAGAAGCGAAAATTAGAGAAAAGAAAAAAAGGCAAAGGCGAGCCGTCGTCGTCCGGCACAGGCCAGCTCGAGACGTCTGATCGCGACGGCAACTGTAAATCAGTTGGCTGTGCGTGTGCGTGCCTGTGAAGAGCGAGCGGGCTGGCGAGGAACGCAAAAATTGAGTTTTAAGCCAACGAGTCGCGGGAAACAGTGAGCACGCCGTTGTTGCCGCTGCCGTCGTTGTCGCCCCACCCTTTTGGCACGGCAGAGAGAGCGAGCGAGCGAACAAGCGAACAAGCAAAGCAAAGCAAGCACGGTCACATGGATTCCGTTCGTTTGTTCGTCGTCGTAGTCATTCCCTCCTTTCAATCACTTTGACCGTTTGTTCCCCACACACGGTTGTCACTTTTGGTCTTTGACACCACCTCTTTTGTCGCTCCCTCCCGACTCGCTATCTGCTGAGCATTCCCACGGTCACCTCGGCGCTGACTGGCGTGTTCGTCACCTTCCTTTTCGGCACCATCGGCTTGTCTCTGACACTTGCATCTTTGGCCAGTGCAGCGTAGCGTAGCGAATCGCATCGCATCGCATCGCACTCCGACACTGGCGAATCACCTTTTGATCGCGTATCATCGGCCTATCCGCTCTCTCTTCGCTCGAAGCTGAGTCGAGTCGAGTCGAGTCGAATTTCGCTATCATTGCCCTCTCTGTCTCTCTTCGTCACGATCACTGCCAACACCGCCACCACCACCACCATCTCCCTCACGATGCTCCTTTAGCTTCCGACACCGACCCATACAACATTCATCGCCATACCCCAACAGCACAGCAAAGCACGCTTCCCTGCACTTCAGGCATCGCATCAACCTCAGCATTCAAGCCCTCGCCCCCATCGCAAGCAAAGCCCCCATCATAACCGCCGTCCAATCGCAGCATGTCCGGTAAGTGTTGTTGATCTCACCATGTCCATACGATGAGCAGCCGGAGCTCGTCGCTGACCTCGCTCTCCTTCGCCCCTGCTCATAGCCACAGAAGAGGTCGTCAAGCGCGAGACCGATTCGGTGTCATCGCCGCCTCGCAACGACGCCTCGGCCCTCAAAACAGAGCACAACGCCAGCCCCTCCTCAGCACCCATCAAGTCGGACGACCCCCCAAAGCTCAGCAGGCCAAGACGCGACTCGTCTCCGCTCTCCGACGTCTCTCAGAAGGCCGACGGTCGCTCCCTCAACAAGGAATCCGTCGACGATGTCCAAGACGCAGACGCAGACGCAGACGCCGACGCCGACGACGATGACGAAAGGGACATCAAGCCCTCGCATCAGCAGCTCGACCGCGTGAAAGCAGCTTCTCCGGCCTCCTCCAGAAACAGCACCCCTTCGCGCTCCTCCGCCAAGCCAGACCGCAAGCATCTCCTCGAAGCCGAAAACGACCCGGACCTCTACGGCCTTCGACGATCCGGTCGCGCCAGCAGAAAGTCGTACAACGACCAAGACGCCGCCGACTCGGACGACCCAGACGCTTCCGTCTCGTCGCGACGTCGGCTCGTCAAAGGCGGTCGTGCTTCGGTCCGCAGCTCGGTTCAAGCCAGCGACGACGACCACCACCACCGAGATGACGCCGACGACGACGATGACGACGACGACGACGACGACAGCGACGATCCCGAAGACGACGAGTTCGGCCCGGCCAAGTCCAAGAAGAAGCGCAAGCAGAAGCGTTCGGCAGCCGCGCGCCTCTCCTCGGCCGACCTCGAAGCTTCTCGCGTCTCGAGCAGGAACGGTCGACGCATCCCCAACTACACCGACGACTACGCCGACCTCGGCGACGACGACCCCTTCGAGGATGAAGCCGACATCCAAGCACAGAGGCACGCCCAAGAGGCCGGCGACATTGAGGAAGAAGACGTCATCGAGAGCATCGTCGGCCACGAACGACACGAGGACCGTCTCGACGACAAGGAAGACATGCCTACCCAGAACCTTCGCTTCATCGTCAAGTGGAAAGGCTACTCCCATCTCCACGACACGCACGAGACCTACGACTTTCTCAAACGCTACCGGGGCTTCAAGCGCGTCGACAACTACATCAAGTCGGTCTTCCAACGCGAAAAGCTCCTCCGCTCCGATCCGCACGCCTCGCGCGAAGACATTGAAGCGCTCCAGATCGAAAAGGAGCGTCAGGCCGAGCTCATCGAGAGCTTCAAGACCGTCGAACGCATCATTGCAGAGCGCAACAACCCGGCCAACAAGGACATCGCCTATCCGCATCTCGCCTACCTCGTCAAGTGGAAGGGTCTGCCCTACGGCGACTGCACCTGGGAAGCAGAGGAGGAGATCAACGACATCGCCCAGCAAGCCATCTCGGCCTACGTCGAGCGCTCCGCCTCGTCCACCGTTCCCTGGCGCTCCCAAAACTTTTCCCAGGGCCGTCCCAAGTACACGCGCATGACCGAGCAGCCGGCCTACATCAGCGCAGGCACGCTCAAGGACTTCCAGATGACCGGTCTCAACTGGCTCGCCTACCTCTGGAGCAAGAACGAGAACGGCATCCTCGCCGACGAGATGGGTCTGGGCAAGACCGTCCAGACCGTCTCGTTCCTCTCGTACCTCTTCCACTCGTGCTACCAGTACGGCCCCTTCCTCGTCGTCGTGCCGCTCTCGACGCTCCCCGCCTGGATGAACCAGTTCGAGCACTGGGCGCCCGACCTCAACGCCATCGCCTACATGGGCAACAGCGCCAGTCGCGAAATGATCCGCGAGTACGAGTTTGGCCCGCCCAAAAAGATGAAGTTCAACGTGCTCGTCACCACCTACGAGTTCATCCTCAAGGACCGCGCCGAGCTCGGCCAGATCAAGTGGCAGTACCTCGCCGTCGACGAAGCGCATCGACTCAAGAACTCGGAGGCGCAGCTGTACGAGGCGCTCAACAGCTTCCACGCCGCCGGCAAGCTGCTCATCACGGGTACACCGCTCCAGAACAACGTCAAGGAGCTCATCGCCTTGCTCCACTTCCTCCGCCCCGATCAGTTTGACCTCGACGTCGACTTTGACATCAACGACGTCGACCAGGCCGTCATCAAGGAGCTGCACGAGAAGCTCGACAACGTCATGCTTCGGCGCCTCAAGAAGGACGTCATCAAGGAGCTCCCCACCAAATCCGAAAAGATCCTTCGCGTCGAAATGTCGGCCATGCAGCAGCGCATGTACAAGGCCATCCTCACGCGCAACTACTCGCTCCTCAGCGGCGCCACCACGGCGCAGTTCTCGCTGCTCAACATCGCCATCGAGCTCAAAAAGGCGTCCAACCATCCGTACCTCTTTGACGGCACCGAGGTCATCTCGGACAACCGCGAAGAGACGCTCAAGGGCCTCGTGATGCACAGCGGCAAGATGGTGCTGCTCGACAAGCTCCTCGCACGTCTCAAGGCCGATGGACACCGCGTGCTCATCTTCAGTCAGATGGTGCGCATGCTCGACATCCTCTCGGACTACATGTCGCTGCGCGGCTACATCCACCAGAGGCTCGACGGCACCGTCTCGTCCGAAGTGCGTAAAAAAGCCATCGAGCATTTCAATGCAGAAGGCTCGCCCGACTTTGCCTTCTTGCTCTCGACGCGCGCCGGTGGTCTGGGTATCAACCTCGAGACGGCCGATACGGTCATCATCTTTGACAGCGACTGGAACCCGCAGAACGACCTGCAAGCCATGGCGCGCGCACATCGACTCAACTCCAAGTTCCACGTCAGCGTCTTCCGCTTCCTCACCAAGGACACGGTCGAGGAAGACGTGCTGGAGCGTGCCAAGCGCAAGATGGTGCTCGAGTACGCCATCATCCACCAGATGGACACTTCCGGGACCAACTTTGCGCCAAAGGCGTCCGCCAAGAACCAGCAGCAGTTTAGCAAGGAGGAGCTCGGTGCGATTCTCAAGTTTGGCGCGCAGAACATGTTCAAGAGCGACAACGAGGACGGCCAGCAGAAGAAGCTCGACGAGATGGACCTGGACGACATCCTGTCGCATGCCGAGGCGCACGAGACCGAGGCGGATCCCACAGGCAGCTCGGCCGGTGGTCAAGAGTTCCTCAAGTCGTTCGCCCAGGTGCAGGACTTCAAGGCGGATCTGAGCTGGGACGACATCATCCCGCTCGAGGAGCGCCAGAAGGCCGAGGAGGAAGAGCGCAAGAAGGCGGTCGAGGAAGCGGCGGCGGCGGCTAGCTCCTCGCGTCGCCGTGCTGCCGCTCAGGTGGCTCCCGGTGCCTACGACAATGGCGAGGGCGACGACCGCGCCACTTCGCCCGGCGCTTCGAAGGATGCAGCCAAGCGTTCGCGCAAGACGGCGGCGCAGCGCTCGGTCGAGATGAAGGAGCGCGACCTGCGCGTGCTCATCCGCGGCATCCAGCGCTGGGGCGACATCCGCTACAA